TATTACTTCTTCAATTCTGTTTTGCATTACGAACCACCTTGGCGATTCTGGAATTATGAATAAGGTAAATCCAATAAAGACCGAGGGAAATATTCCCGCAACAAGCATAATTCAACTGCATTAGCAACCTTGAAAAGGCATAGTTTGAGATGTATCCGAGAAGAATTCCTAGATTGACAAAGATCTCAGGAAAGGAAGTAAGACATCCTCTGGCAGTGGAAGGCGATATCTCGGTAATGTACATAGGTGCAATCATGACTCCAAAACCTATCCCAATCTCAGCCAAGAGTCTCCCTATCATCAATATTTGAAAAGAAGGTGCCAGAGAAATTGTAGCTGCAAAAGCTATCGTCCATTTTCGACCAATGACATCTATGTTTTTCCACCAGCTAAACTACCAAAAACGGAAATTATGCTTAATATTCCCACAAGAACTTCTTGTACCTTTGATATCTTCATCAAATCCTACCGAACGAATATAGTTGCTCCACGCATAACACCCACATCTGACAACATGTTACAAAATCAGAATTCCAACTAAATGCAAATTAATAACAATCAGTAGATTATATTGAAATGAGCAAACACAAGAAATGTCATACTGAACACGATGAACCAAATAATCATTCCCATTCCTGCACGCATTACACCCTCGAGCAATAATTTTGAAAATATACCGGTAAGGCGGTACCTCTCCCCCAATATATCAGTAAGCAAATGGAAGAGTAAATAATGCAGAAGGATATCTGTTGTTTGAGTTGTGTGAATAACATTTGTTAACTTGGAGATTATGCAGTTCTATAAAAAATGAGAAGTCTAATGTTTCATATTTGTGTTGTCTGACAAAAATCCATAATCAGTATTCAGTCTTCATATTTATGAGTAAATATGGATCGTTATTATGAAGTACATTTGTTGTGGGATTAGACACTTAAACCATTAAGCTTCTTTTTGCACCATATAGCATTTATAAACAAATCTCCAAATTCTGCATTCAACAATAGAGCACATTCCCATAAATTGCATTGACCACAAACCAACAGAATTAAAAAAAAAAAAAAAAACAACAAAAATATCAAACTGGGATATCACCAATTAACAAGATCAAACCGAAAAAACAAAGATATCAAATTAAAAGTAAAGAGATCTTGTAGAAAAAGAGAGAGAAAAAAGAATGGTAAAGACAAACCGTAGCCAAGGAGCACAGAATTGATTTGAGAGAGGTCAAAATGGCAATAGCAAAAACATATTTCCTCGTATTATCACTAATATTATTAACAACAATAACACCATCCTCTTCTGCCTTTTTGTGTTGTAGATGATTTGTCAGAACAATTTCCTCTTTTATTGCACTGATCCCATTCTCTGGTACTTCTTGTTGTTCCCATTTTCCTGCACTCCCATTGTATAAAACTTTTCACAACAATTTATAATTTTATGTCCAGATTTTACTACAATTTTTGAAAAAGACTTACAATAAATTTTTATTGCTTTTTTTTTTTTTTTTTGTTAATGCTTCTTCTTCCTCTCTTCTCTGTAACTTTAATGTTTTTTATTAAGAAGGAAAAAGAAAAAGGAAGAGAGAGGCAAAGAGAAAATCTTACTTTTCTTTTGGAAATTAAGAACATGCAGATCTGGTAGTGATTTTTATTAACATGGAAAGTGAATGTGGCCTTTTTTTTCCTTCATATGTAGGCAAACACTGAAAAAACACGTTCCGACAAGACCAAGCAAAGTTACGAGGAGTTTTTTCCTATAGAAGTGTAATTTAAAATTTTTATTGCTTAATAGAGGTAGTTTTAAATTTCTTTATGTGAATGAAGTTCTTTATGCGACATCAATATCATATCATATTTTTAAATTTTTATTTTTCTAAATGTATCTAAATTTTTTGTCAAAAAAAAAAAGTACCTAAATTTTCATATAAGAAATAGAGTGATGGTAAGTAAAATAAAATCATCCTTTTTGCTCACAAGTTTAATTCTATGAGACTGAAAGATTGTTGATAGAAAGCAATAGAAAGCAAGATATGATATCATATACAAAAAATACGACGGCATTATTAACTAAAATGAAAGCAATACTTTCTGGTTTTTTTCTCATAAGTTTTATTTTTCAATTAAATCAAAGATAGCCAATGAAAATCGCGACACATAGTAAATATGGGAATAATGTAGGTGGGTTCTTCAATTATGTGCTTAATTAATTTCTTATTTTTAGTTTTGTTGTTACTTTGAATTTAAAATTTTAAACTCTTCATCCATGTGTTTAACATTTTTTTTATTGGATTCATTGTGTATTTGATTAATCATGGATAATTAGATATAATGTAAAAGAAAAGTGAATAACACACATGATTGACCTGAGTTTTGCGTGCAATCTATTACTCTAGTTTTTTTTTTTTCAAGATAAATAGTTTTATTAGTTTGTATGTACCTTCAAGTGTTTGTAATTATTCGTCAAAGAATATGTGTATTGATTTAGTAATTACCCTAGGGTTGTGAAAATTAAATATGCTTAGTTATCACTAAACAATGAATATAAATTACCTTTGTTATTAATGGTAAAATTCTTTTTGTTCTCAGTATAAAATTTTTTTTATTCATACCTTTATTTGATTTATTCAAAGTTTTCAAGAAATTCAAGAAGATTCCTATTGAAAATTAGTGAAGGAGTGATTGTCCAAGTAGTTTTATTAAGTTAGTGTATTGTTTTTCTCTTTTAAGATACGAACTTGTTCATTTTGTAGTTTAATCAAAGTTTTATGATTTTATTTTTAATTTATTGATTTTATTTTTTTATTATATTATCAAAATATTGATTCCTTTGTGATTTCATTTGTTTTGATATGATTTGTTTATGATTTATATAGGTACCGCATGAGCAAATATGATCTAAATTTTTTGAATCTACGTAATCGTCAAGTTCCAAATAATCAACTAAAAATATTTACTTATTTCAAAAAAATGTAATTGATATCTAAATCAACATTAAAATAAAAGTATATATACATTAATTGTTTGAAAGTTTTTTTTTTTTGTCGGAGACTTTCAGTATTCAATAATCATTTTGAATTTCAATTAATATTAAGTCGAATCAGGTCTGATTATAAAGGAGACAAACTTTCTCAAGTTTGTTTTTTGTATTTATAAGATTTGAAATCGAGATCTTACTTAAGAGGAATCGAACTCCTTATTACTCATATCAAAATATATTTTTTATTAATTATCTAATAATTGCTTCATTTACCAATGAAATTTTAAGAATGTATCATTTAATCCGAACAATACGCATAGCTGCAAAAATAATATATTTGCACCAACAAAGAAAAAGAAGAGAAAATACGTTCTTTTTAAGCAAAAAAGAATCGATTTATAGTGAGAGAGTTAATAAACATGCATTCAATAATGCAACAAACATACTCTAAGATAGGTGATCTTGTAATCACCTTGCACTACAATTGAGTGGACTTTGCATGAATTAATTTTACAATTGAGTTTTGACCAAAAAAAGAAAATTACAATTGAGTTCTTGTCCAGCTGATTGAAACAACTAAAGATTGTAAAAAAAGGAAACGGTAGTCAAAATAAAAAATCTAACAAATCTAATCGAGTTGCTCAATTCCATATCAACTAAACACTCTTTTGCAGTAAGAGGAATAAGTTTTCTGCTTTGGCATTTTAAATTATGCTTGTGCCACTCACAAAAGTGATCCATTAATCGTTTGGAATCCCTTGCAAATGCATTGCTTTACCTCCTTCTTAGCATTCCCATCATGTAGATGGTTTGTTTTTGCATTTTCTCACTTAATTGGAGCATCAACTCTGTAGATTCATGGGTAAACGTGATGGTAGATGTGAATATGTGATGATATATCCTCATCATCATCGTGATCAATCTAGGTATCCCCTCGTCATGCACAGTCAGGGTATTCCAATCTACATTGTAAATTCCTTGGAAAGATGTCAAATTCTTTAAAAATTCTTGGTTCTGTTTCACAAATAATTTATAGTTAATTTCACACAAAAATATGAACAATACTTTTAACTTAGAGAATAAAAAAAATTGACCATGAATAACAAAGTTATTCTACTCATTAGCATAAAAAAAATAGCCTACTCATTCGTTAATAATAACTTAGCATATTTATAGCACCAAGGAATTAAATACAAAAATAATACACATATTTATTAGGGAATAACTACAAACACATGTAGGTATACAAACTAATAAAGTTATTTACTTTTTAAAGTACTCAAGTAATATATTACTTACAAAACTCACTTCACTCATGTGTGTTAATCACTAATTTCTTTGCAATATATATAATTATTCATTATTAATTAAAAACACAAAAAGTATTTCAAAACAACAATGAGTCCAAAGAAATTAGGCACATAAATGAAAAGTCCAAAATTTTAAATTCAGAGTAACAAAAAAAGAAAATTAAGCACTTGATAAAGAACATACAAAGATCATTCCCTTAGTTATTCCGATTCTTCCTTTTCCACTGCTAATCTTTCATTTTCATAAAATTAAACTTGTGAGCAATAAAAGTCGATGATTTATTTTATTTACTCTCGCTGTGTTTCTTATATGAAAATTTATATACAATTAAAAGAATAAAAAAATTAAAAAGTATAACATAATATTGGTGTGACATAAAATATTTCATTATAAAAAATAAATTTAAAACTACCCCAGAGAATAAAAAATTTAAATTGTACCTCTATTAGAAAAAACTCAAGTTACGGGGTGAGTGGGACCCGTTGTTTACGCTCTGCTTTAGTTCCAATCATGATATGCCACGTATTTTTGTTCTTTGCTTTAAGCTGAATGGAGAACAGAAGTACGTACGCTTAGATTGAGTGGACCCCACTTAGCAATAGATGATGGTTTGGACAAAAAATTAGGCCCATTAAAATTTGGTCTATTATGTCCAATCATACCGAATCAAAGCCCAAATCCTCTCACGTGCAATCATATCCACACGTGCGTATCCCTCTGCAATGCAGTCACCCCACAGTCCCACACTTCTTTGCCTCCCTTTCATCTCCCCCTTTCCCACTCTCCGCCATCCATTCGTCCGATTAAACAAAGAGAATGACCGCCGAGATTCTCTCGAACCAAAACGGGGTCGTTTCCAACGGAGATCTGAATAAGAAAATCTCTAACCCTAATCCGTCCTCCGCCTCCAAGAAGTCCCGCGAGAGCGAACGACGTCGTCGCAGGCGCAAGCAGAAGAAGAACAAGAAGACCTTCCAGATTGAAAATGACGCTGCAAACGGTATGGTTTTCGAAACCGACGATAGCTATGCCGGCGAAGATGAAACGAATGAGAACTCCGATCATCAGCAGGTTTCAAACCGTTTTCTCTTTTATAGATATCTAGGGTTTTTGTGAATATCGATTGTTTCGTTTGGTATTTGCATGTCTGCGCATGTAATACAGTTTTTAAATGCGCTTTTGATAGTGATTTAGGGAGTTTCGATTGTCTTCAGTTGGAATAGAATTGAGAATCTTTTTTCTTTTTTAATATCTTTGGTTTATTGTAGATTTTAGTTGGACATTTTTCTTATAGTTATTTAAGTTCAGTTCAATTTTTTTTTTTTTTTTAAATTTCAGCATATAGCACTTTAATTAACTTACATTTGTTCAATATTAAATTTAGCATTTTCTTTTTGTTTGAAATTGTAGTTGACGGAAGTCAAGGAACAAGTTGTGGTTGAGTACGTTCCCGAAAAAGCTGAGTTAGATGATGCTATTGATGAGGAATTTAGGAAGGTTTTTGAAAAATTCAGCTTCTGGGAAGCTGCTGGTTCTGAGGTAAAGTGAACTATCAGTTGGATATGATGGATTATTTTTTAATTTCCTTGTTAGTTCTCTGAAGAACTTGTAATTCTATTTATACAGGAGACGGATAAGAAGGACGAGTCTGCTCAAGATGCAGATGCGAAGAAGAAGGCTGATTCTGATTCAGAAGAGGAAGAACAGGATAATCAACAGAAAGAGAAAGGCGGCCTATCAAATAAGAAGAAGAAGGTTTTTCATTTTCTCCTTTTATTTTCTAATATTTTTGATATTATCATATTCTGTTAGTTTTGATGAGACTGAAAAGTAAAAGTACTTATATTGTTATTGTTGACAGCTACAAAGGCGGATGAAAATTGCTGAATTGAAACAGATTTGCTCAAGGCCTGATGTTGTAGAGGTATGTTTTCCTCTTACTGTTTATTTGGATTTTCTTTATCTTTCTGCACTTGTAGCTGTTGATGTTCGGTTCTCTTTGTGGTCATTTGAGAACCTGTCTAGTTTGCTTTTTAACCAGTGTTTAAAAAAATTATAGCTCAAAGTTGAATTAGAGCACATTTGCTATGAATTTTTGAGTTTTTCATTCCAAATGAAGAAATCTTTTTTATTTTTTTACAATTTCTTTTCATGGCTATTTGTGCTCTTCTTTTTTAATATTTTGCTATGGATTTTGTCATGCAAAGCTCTTGGAATACTGCAACTCATGAAGGGAACAGCTTTTACTTTCATATGTTTATAATTCAATAGTTCATGATAGTTATGTTTATTTTGTTAGGTTTGGGATGCAACCGCTGCAGATCCTAAGTTGCTGGTGTTTTTGAAGGCATATCGAAATACTGTTCCTGTGCCAAGGCATTGGTGTCAGAAAAGGAAATATTTGCAGGTTAGTAATTCTTGCTACTATATCGAGTAATATGTTTCAAATATGTGTGCATGGTTGGTAGGCATAATCTTGATGAGTGATTAGGGAAGAGGGTGAGGGAAGATCAAGTCGATAAGGTTTCTCTTATATGTATATATGTGTGCTTCTTGCAGGGGAACAGCTGTGACAACCTTGGAGCCTGGACTTGTAGGTGTTTTGCAAAGAAGACTCTTGATTGATTTCTCTTTTAATATGACTGCTTTGTAGGTTGGGATGTAGATATTTATGAGGTTTTCTGGTAGCATATCGTAACTTTGCATGCTAGATGTTGGGGGATATTTGTTCATTGTTAAGGTGCTAATTAATCTGTTTTGGATTTTCAGATGCCTATCCATTGTGTTAAATGCTCAGGCTAGATCCGTCTAAGATTTATTTATTTATTTTAAGTGATCTGAGTCAGATGCAGAAGTTTCCTAGTTATTATTATTATTATTATTATTATTGGGTTTGTTAACTTCTGGTATCTCAACGGCTTCTGGATCTTTTCTGTAGGGAAAGCGTGGTATTGAGAAGCAACCTTTTCAGCTTCCTGATTTCATTGCTGCGACAGGAATTGAGAAAATTAGACAGGTAAATTTAATTCCTTATAATAGCAAATTGTGTACAGTCTCCTCCAAATTATGTCAAGAATATCATCTGTGAAGATGCCCTTTCCGAAAACTATATATATCTTTTAAATAATTTATAGATTTTGAATGGATAATGACATTCTTGCTTTGAACTCAATAATTGACTCGTGTTCTCTTTTTCTCATTTAGGCTTACATTGAGAAAGAGGACAGTAAGAAGTTGAAACAAAAGCAACGTGAGCGTATGCAGCCAAAGATGGGGAAAATGGATATCGACTATCAGGTTTCTTAGTTTCTTGCTTCATGGATTCTTTGTTTTTTTGGATATTTGATTTTTGTTGCAATCCATTTTTAGCTGTCATGAAAGGTTATGTGTAATCATGTTATTCCTTTCTGAAATGATATTGTCTTGCTCTTTTAGCTAACGATGTTGTGGCTTCTGTTTTTTAGGTTCTCCATGATGCATTCTTTAAATACCAGACAAAGCCAAAGCTGACAACTCACGGGGATCTCTATCATGAAGGGAAAGAATTTGAGGTACTCTTCTTCTATATCTACATGGATATTGGGCTGCCTCTTATACTTCATAATACATGTGTCAATTGATTTTAAATTGATATTCAGTTGTAAAACTTAAGGCTGTAAGTTGAGTTCTTAAGGCTGTAGGGACATTATAGGATAGCAATTGACTATAAATTTTACTGATGATAGGATCATATTCCGGATCCTAAGGACTGGGTGGCTTTTTGGTTGTTGCAAAATTCAAGCGGTTGATATAGTCTAGCTTAATTTGAATCTGTGAATTGAGGAAATTTTGTTTAATAAAACCTTGTGCCTTTTGTTGGGTTATAGAAATTGGACTTCACAATGGTTATCACGGCTTGAGATGTTTGTGGATTAAGTGCCCTAAGAGATCAGACTTTTATACATGTCTATGTAGTCTTTTGTTGCTATTCCAATCTTTGTGTGAATTCAATGGCCTTCTAGTTGCCATGCCGACTTGTTTGGCTGAAACATTCAACCTTGAGATGTATTATGTGCTGCAACTGGCTATTGTGATTTACCTGAATGAAATGATAATGACACTTTTGCAGGTAATCTTGAATGAAAAAAATGAATGTCTGATGATACATGACTTTCAGTAGACTTTTCATTGTCTTAAATTAATATTGTTCGTTTGGAATACAGGTAAAGCTGAGGGAGATGAAGCCAGGCTCTCTATCACATGAATTAAAAGAAGCTCTTGGTATGCCAGAGGGTGCTCCACCCCCATGGCTTATCAATATGCAGGTTAGTTTGGTTAATGTCCTAAGTTTCTTTTTGCATCTGATATCTAAGTTTTGTTGGTATTATGTAACTGCAAATTTTCCTTTCAGAGGTATGGTCCTCCACCATCTTACCCACATTTGAAAATACCAGGGCTAAATGCACCCATCCCTCCTGGAACAAGCTTTGGTTATCACCCTGGTGGTTGGGGCAAACCTCCTGTAGATGAGGTAAGCCTCTTAGTGGTTTCCTGTCTTCTGTGTGCTCTAGTAAGCTTGAAAGCTGTCTTATATGAGGTAATCTTTTTAATATTATCTCTTTTTCTAACTCTCTTGCTTTTTCCTAATTATTGTCAATAGTATGGACGGCCTTTGTATGGAGATGTTTTTGGAGTTCAGCTGCAAGACCAACCCAACTATGAGGTACTTCCAAGATTTTGATGAAGTTTGTATTTTGGATATTCGATCTTAGTGTTCTTGATTAATAGTTTAACTCTAGGGCTTTTAGCAAGCATTTTGTTCCTTGTATTGCTGTTGGCCTTCATATGATAAAAATTTACTAAAGTAAAAGAAAGAACTAATAAGGGTGAAGCAGCGTCTTAACATTAAAGTACACACACAAGTATGCCCACCATTATTTTCACTCTAGTAGTAGAACATCTTAATTTAGATTGTAATATCTTTTTCTCCCCGCTAATGTGTAAACTTTTGTCAAATTCTTTTAAGCAATTGAATTTTACTGAGTGATATCCTACTAGAAACATTCATCCAAACCTTGTCTTGATGTGGAGGATGTATTTGGCTACAGGTGTAATTTGTAGCAAAATGAAGAGTAATATTAATAGCTTCAGTTTTTTGGATTAAATTTTTATTTTCTTGAGCCTATAATTTAATTTCGCAATATGTTACTTTTTCGTTTGAAATGATAAAATCCAGGAGGAGCCTGTTGATAAGTCAAAGCATTGGGGTGACTTGGAGGAAGAGGAAGAGGAAGAGGAAGAAGAAGAGGAAGAAGAGGAAGAGCAGATTGAGGAAGAGGAGTTAGAGGATGGAATTCAATCTGTTGATAGCCTTTCAAGGTATTACCTTCCAGTATTTTATTTTGTTGAGGGTTGTAAAAAATTATCAATGCAGTTGCTTTGTCAGTTTGGTTTTTTACTTGATTAATAGCCACAATTGTTCTATGTTGTCTGTGGAGTAGTAACTATTTTTATTGATGACATTTTTCCTTTTGGACTTCAGTACTCCTACTGGTGTTGAGACACCTGATGTCATTGACCTTCGTAAACAGCAGAGAAAGGAGCCTGACAGGCCTCTTTACCAAGTATATATTTGAAACTTTACTGTTGCCAGTTTTCCTTATTCATATCACCTATATATATATAATATGAGTTTCTCTTCTCATTGCTTCTTGTTTGTCTTGTTTCTTTGAAGGTACTTGAAGAAAAAGAAGAGAGGATTGCCCCTGGGACTTTACTTGGCACAACACACACGTAAGAATCCTATTTGGTGTTTTTAACTTTTGTTCCCATAGCTTCAAATATTTGAATGATGTCAAGAAACTTGGTTTTTTACATACAGGTATGTGGTTAACACTGGCACCCAAGACAAGTCCGCAGCTAAAAGGGTAAGAGAGATGTCTATATTTTTTGATCTTGCAATTATTTCTTTCCTGGTTAAATGACTACAGTTGTGCTTAGGTTTAGAAATATATCCCATAGTGTTTGCTACTTTCAGCATTTTATCTTGTTTGAAAAACCTTTTGGGCCATTTGCAAACATTATTATCTAGTAGTTTCCTGCTGTAACTGCACTTGAAATTTGCTGAAGTTTCACCACAGGACTTGGAGATAATCTATCAGCAACAAGGGGGTTTTCGACTCCAAAGCCCTTGTGTCAATGGCATGCTATCAAATGCATGAATAAGATATTGTATTTAGCCTGAAGTTGTTGAAATCTTTGTGACTGAATTGGTTATTCTGTCATAATTTGACATGTGATTATAAATTTTCTTTCTCTTTTTGCAGGTTGATCTTCTTAAGGGTCAAAAATCTGACAGGGTGGAAGTCAGCCTACAGCCAGAGGAGTTGGAAGTTATGGACAACGTGTTGCCTGCAAAGTAAGTCGCACTCTTGTAACTTTTACCATCTAAGTATATGTTGTCCCCAAAGTTAATTCTACTTAACTCACTTCGGTTGATTTCACAGGTATGAAGAAGCTAGGGAGGAGGAGAAGCTACGAAGTCAGCGTGAGGACTTTAGTGATATGGTGGCTGAGGTAAGCCTGTGTGGAGTCTTTTTAATGAAAATTTGGGTGTGTTCTTCACGAGAGAGAGTTGACTGTTTTCTAAATCCCTCCAAAAGTAAAATTAAAAAAAGGAGAGAAAATAAGCTCTGCACAAATATAATATTGCTTAAAAATTAGCTTGCATGATTTGTTGGCAAACTCCCTACCCTTCTGAGTTCTGACCAGATAAAACCAATAAAAGTTTAATGCCGCTTTTCAATGTTATTCCTAATAGAAACGATGGTGAATTTTTTTTTTTTCTACTAACAATCACTGCACAAACTATTTGCAATCTTCTCAGTCATATTACATCTTTTAATGTGTCTTTCTGTTTGACTCTTGTTGTATCAGGTAGGCCTACCTGAATTTAGTTGGGGTCTTTTAAACATTTGCTCACATGCTTGATAATGATGTGACGTTTTTGTTATTAAATTTAGCAGAATATTTTCAACAGTACTTTCTACAAGCAATCTGAAATGGAAGATTTTTCTTTTTTAAAATACTTATAATTGGGAGTTGATTTGGGTCAAGTCTTGATTTTAATCCCGGGATGCAATGGAGCTTATAATGCTTGTGTGTGTACGTTTTTGCGTACGACAATGGTTGGTAATTTCATGTTTGTTTTATGTTGTAACGATGAGTTGTATTTGATGCCAGAATGAGAAGAAAAGGAAGCGTAAGATGCAGGAGAAAGAGGGGAAATCCAAGAAAAAGGATTTCAAATTCTAAGGAAACCAAGAATTTTTTCCTGGTGTTATGTTTTTGTATGTGGAGAATCGAAGATGTACTGATTTCGCTTTGCAATCAAAACGTTTACTGTAGGATCCGTTGGCGTTGCGTTCTAAAATATCTATATATGTCAATTATATCTATAGGGCTATAACTCACTCATATCCTCCCCTACTTTGCAAAATATTTATTATTACTCCCAATCCGTTTTGACGACTAGGGGTAGGAGTTTTGACGAGCTGAATTGAAAACTGATTATCCTATCTCCTCCAAGGCGTCTGAAGAATGAGTATCTATTACTTAATGTTGCTATTGTTTCTCCTTTCCTTGTGTACTAGAAAAACTTGTTCGTGTAAGTTAGACGGGAAATCAACGTTAACTACACTTTAATTAATCGTTATTAATCTTCATTACCTCTTACTTTAATCTCTACATGCTAGCTTAATAATTAATAAGCCGATTGTTTGGATGAAACGAAAGTAATTTGCACGCCATTCACTACTAGGTGAGCTCATGCCAGAGTAAATAGTTTCAAAATTTCCCCCTCGGTGTGCACAACCATAAAGCCTAAAAGGGAAATTATTGCAATTGAAAATAAAAATGTTTTGCTTTTGCAAATCGATATTATTATGCGAAGAAAATTCACGTGTGTAGAGAGTAGGCCAGACGCGCATGCAAACTTTTTCATCCATGACAGTAGTGAGGAAGATAAACATAAAATCCATCCTTGTCAATGATCTGATGATCTCTGTTATGGATTTGTAAGTGGACAGAAGTGTAGCATGAACCACGTCTTTTACCTTTCAAAATCATGGAGTCCATAAAGAGGAATAGGGTGAGTTGGAATTGGATTTTGCGTCCTGTTAGACATCAGAATTTCTGACCTTTTTCCTGCATGACCATGCTAAGATTCTAAAGTGGATCCTCGTCATCATCTATGACACGCATTAACTAGTACTATATAATTAATTTTTTAAAATGCCTAGCCAAGGCTATCTGTCACCTTCTTCGCCATTAAGGAACGAGATTGAGAGAAAATGAGATTTTAATGGTAAATTCATGGAATGGAATGGAATGGGAAACACGCCAGGAGACGCTTACCTCATGGAACCAACGTCAAAATGCTTACCTTACCCTACTAAACATTGCCGGCTGCGGCTTTATCTGTGGACCAAGGAATTTGTACGGATGCTTTAACTTCATTGATTAATAATAGTAATAAATTATTATTACATTCTAGAAAGTTTTTAAAAGATTCCACAAATCAGTCCAATTTGATAATTGTAATAAAAGCGAAATGTTATAAGAAAATTGGGTGTGGTTTATTTCCTGAACTTGGTTTTGAATATAGACAAGGTGCCTAAAATTGAAGTTTGTTATGTTACTAGTGAACCAAAAAAAAAAAAAGTATTGTTCAAGTTCAAATCTTCGTTCCTCTTTGTGACTATTGAAAAGAGACGAACAAAAACATTGATGGATAAAGATTCGGAATCCGCTAAGAAAAACAAAGGATAAATGGATGATTTTTTTGTTTGCATAACTTGAACTTCGTTTCTTTTTCGTAGGTCTTAATTACTACTAATTTTCTTTACTTCTTATGTTATAGTACCCCAACTAGAAAGGGCAAGGATTATTTCTCCAAAAAGAAAAAGAAAAATCATCAAATGCATGATTACAAACAAATATGAACCCTATATTTTGACAATTAGTAGATAAGTAGCAAAGGCCGGGGCCGACCAGGGGCAAACTTGGGGCCCTCATAGCTGTGATTGGTGATGGCTGATGGGCGGCTCTATTGAGTCTCCTGAGGTTTATTCTATTAACAGGGAATCCAAGTAAGCAAGTAATATTATTCTACACTAATTGGTGCGTGACACTTTCTTTTTATTCAGCCAACCATCGATGCTCAAGCTTGGCAACACCTTTCTTTTTTTTGTATTATAATAATATACCTTACTTGTTCATTACTCTCTCGTAGACCTAATCCATATTGACCAACAACCGCTGCCATCTTCAAACAGTGATTAGCTGATTGGTTTTTACGTGGATGGATTGTTGATTTGAAAGGGTATGCGGGCTAAGCTGTCTAATTTTTCATTATTGTTTCAATTGTATCAGATGTCCATGAAAAGAAGGGTTTTAATCATGATAAGTGTCGCCTACTTGTTATAGAGTCAAAATTAATCCTTTAATTCAGGCAAGCAATCCTGCAATAATGGTCATAAGAGTTCGCATCGATCTCAAATGTCTGATTCTTGAACTTATAAATTACTGTTCTAATTAACATTAAGAGTCTGAACCAAATTCGATAAGCTGTTCAGCTTTGACTCACTAATCTTGTTTGATAGGTTAAACTATTGATTAACATGCTGTCAAAACATCAATTTGACAGCTTGGATTTTGAGTTTGGCCATTTCTGCCGTCCAAAGCAGAAAATTTGGGACCTCGGATCCCATCAGTGAACAAAATCTTATTGTAATATCAAACTGGTCAGTTTGGCATGTAGTCTTCTGTATGTTCTTGAATTGGTTGAGCGGGAACTTGGGATTTCCATGTTGCAATCTAAAGACAAATAGTAGGCAAAAACGTTCTCAGGAAGTTGATTTCTGTGCAAATTTTGCTTGTTCAGAGACAAATTAAGAAACAGAACTTGAACTTCCTTTTTTATTATGGGAGGAAATTTGTCACTTTAGGATTCCATTTTAGGGCTATGCTCTTCAAGGTAGTAGAGAGTTATTATAAGCTTGAAAACCCGCTCAACGTTTTCATAAATATGGACAGTGGACAGGTTCTTTTGACTAAATTATTTCCAACAAGCCTTACCCTTGCCAAATAATATGTTTCCATGCATGAAAATAAATGCAAGAATAAAAACGAAAACATCCATTCAGATTCAGGCTTTTTATAAGTACCAAGAGAGAGCAAAAAATGAAAAAAGGGTGAAGAGTAGTGAAAATGACAACAGAAACCCTTGGAAAGAGGAAGAAGAGGTTTATACGTAGACATCCATATCCAGAGTTCAATCGGGACCGATTTTTATAAATTTTTTTTTTAGTATTATTATTTGTTATTATTATTACTATAGTATAGTATGTTATTATTATTATTATTATTATTATTATTATTATTATTATTATTATTATTATAGTATGGTGTAATATTATTATTATTATTATTATTATTATGGTGTAATATTATAGTATAATATATTATTATTATTATTATTATTATTATTATTATTTCTTTCTTTCCTTCTTAATAGACGATCGAATATGGAATTGAAATGGGAATTCAATTATTTGGTCAAAGTGGTTTTAATTCAGAATCAAATCAAAAGTTTTTTAGCTCAATCTAGACAAATCACAATCTAGACAAATCAGCAAAAACTTAAGCCATAAATCATGTTCAGATAGAACTCAATCCCAAAATTTAAGCCTAGATTGATTATGTCCGTTTTTTAAAGATTTTTCTAAGGATACCTATAAATTGAACTAAAATTTTAGAGAACATACATGATTGATTTTTTGGAAAAGGGGTGAACTTGGTGTTCTGAAAAAATTTTTAAGCAGTAGGAAATTTTTGGGATGTTGATTTTGGGGAATTTTAGGTTCGATTTGAAGTTTCTGGGTTTATATTTGGGTTTTTGGGTTAGGATTAACATTCGGGGAAGTTTCTGAATAAATCTGAAGAATCTGAAAAATTTTTGAAATTTTTCTAAAAAAATTAAGTTTGGGGATGAATATTTGAATTTTTTAATTAAATTTTTTGATGAAGTTTGGGTTTTTCGGCCAGATTTCAGCTAATTTTTCAAAAATTGATGGGTTTTTTTCAGTTTTTGATTGAAGCTCCTGATTTTTTTAGAAAGACATCAGAGCGTTTTAGGGGTAGAGAGATAGATAGTAGTGGACTTATGAAGGAAAAACGTAGAACTTGACTTTTATAGGTCTCCAAAATGACCTCGTTTTACCAAGTCTAGATCCGTGTGTAACTCGATTGGGATCCACGCACTATCCATGGTTCGACCCGACTCGATCATAGGTTTTTTTTTCTATTTTAATTTTATTTTATATTTTAAGTTTTTTTTTAGTTTTATTTATTTATTTTGTTGGTTTTTATTATTTATTTTACCAAGTAATTTATTATTTATTAAAATTTTACAAGAATTATTTTTCTAACAAAAGAAAATAATTAAAAAAATTTTTTTGTAAAAATTATTTTTTTGGAAAAATAATAATATTTTCAAATAAATTTATGGAATCCACCAAATTATAAGAAAATTCTATAAATAAATTTCAAAAAGATAAAAAATAATTTTTATTCTCCATACTATTGGAAGACTACTTCCTAAATTAAATCTTATCAAACCATTGAGAAATATAAAAACTTTATCAAAAAGAATAAATTTTTATAAATATTTTCAAATAAAATCTCACAAAATTATTGGGATATCTGCCTCTAAGTAAATCTTACCAAACTATTTAAAGATTTTACTAATTTTTTTAAATAAAATACATTAATAAATTCTACGATGGAGCCTCTTTATGGTAGAACCCTAGTCTCCATGAATACTCATGAGGTGAGATAATTATTTTAAATTACTATCAAACCATTGAGGTAATTTTATGATTAATTTTTAATATTAAATATGTTGATAAATTACAAACACATTTAAGGCTTGGATAATTTGAATCAAACTGGTACCATCCTTTGGATGGGCGCTGTGAGGTGCTATAACCTTTCTTACGTGTAACCGTACTCTTGAACCAAAAATCTAGTTTCGTAGATCAAAATCTACTATTTAAAGTTTCTAAGTTAATCTTGAGACTCATCTTTAAATGAGATAGATTTGATTAGGTGACCAATCACACCTAAGTAAAAAGGATTGATGATGACTCCTTTTAATCCATGTCTAGTAGTAGGTCCACAGATCTATACATTATGATAGTTTGGCAACTTTACTAGGGATATTGAGAGTCAAGCCAATAAATAATTCCTTATTATCCAAGCCTTGCTTAATAAATTTGGGATTATTTTCTCCTTTTCCTATCTATTTCCTTTCATTGCTTGTATTTGTTTAGTTATTCATTTATTTATTGTATATATATGTTATTCATTTACATGCGTATAACATAAAGCTCTCCACCCGAGCTCTACCCTTAGAAGGGATTGAAGTATCTATGCTGTTGTGAGATTTCATGTCTTTGCATGGGCCTGTGAAACATTTCCACTCAAATTGAACCATTTACACTTGTAGCCTGTGATGGATGAGGATTGAGGTGCCTTACTAGTTTGTGATGGATAATGATGTAAGAAACAATTTGAAACTTTCTAAAAGTAATCCAAGCCACATATAATTAACCTTAAATGTCCAAACCTAGGTAGAGCCATGCCTTTCCCTGTGTTAAAAAATCCTAAATAAGATACATGATTGGATGCTTGTTTTATTTATAAGATTATGTATTGTTCTTTTTATATATTAACCCTGTATGTTAGTCTTTGTATATTATTTTACATCATTAAGTAATATTTACCATAAAATAA